CCTACCAAGAGGCCTGGCTACTTTTCAAAATGGCTACCATAACCCTACCAAGAGGCCTGGCTACTTTTCAAAATGGCTACCATAAACCTACCAATTCATTTTTCTTACCAAATGGACTAGTGGAATGTTAACTCCAAGTACATAGAAAAAAGACAAAATACAGCAGATTATGTATGGGTAATTCTTAAACAAAGAAGTATGCTTTACACCGTTTTGTGCAATTCTTGTTTCTCTTGGTAGCTTTGGTTCATAGTCTTTTTCYACTTGTGGACTGTAAGAGAGAGAAGAGACACAGACAGCAAGAGCCATAGCACTAGTACATTTATACATATTTCTCCATCCCACATGGGTAATCAAAATTTCGAAGATGAAACCCATGCAGAACGATGCTCCGGCACCAGCGGTCATAATGCCAAGTGCCAATGAAGTTTTCCTTTTGAAATATTTTTGGACAATATCAAAGTTTGAATTGTAGGTCATTGATGATCCGATCCCAAAAACCACTCCGTACGAAAAGTACATAAACGCGATGGTTTTCGAGAAAGAGGTCACGAACAAACCAATGGCACAAATTATTGCTCCAAAGATTGCAACCAGACGAGGCCCGAAACGATAAATGAGCTTGGCTGAAATAGGCGAAAGACAAAACGTAAGAAATCCAGCCAAAGAGCCAACCCAGGCTGCGAAAATAGAAAAACGAACGTCATGCATTACGCTTAGATAAGATAAAATGCGTAGGAGCTTCCTTCTTCTTCTCCTTCCTCCCTCCCTCCCTCCCTCCCCCAATCCCCTAGAGCGCCGCTAAGCAGGCTACTAAAGACCAAGAAAACAAACCTTGTCAAGTCTTTCACGTACGGGGCTCTGATTAGACTGCAAGCAGTCCCTCTACTTCCATTGGTCACTGTCCGTCTGTCTGTCCGTGTCAATTGGCCGAGAAAGATTGGTTACAGTCCCTGGGGGAGGGGGCTGGGGAGGGAAGAACGAAAGGAAACGGACAGTGACCAAGGGAAATTAAAGGGACTGCTCGCTGTCTAGGCTCTGATTTCCACAAGAGTAAAAGAGAAAACTTTTGATGGCAAAGAAATATGAATAATATTATTACCAGAACATTCTTCGGTCTTAGCATCGATGATTGAGCCTTTTCTATCCGAGGGCGTTTTTTTTCAATTTGGCTAACTTGGCTAACTTCAATGTCACTCAACTTTCGACGAGGTTTGAACTGACACGCGATACCAGGTGATCTCGCGCACGCACTTCCGGTTACTATTAACCAATCACAAGCATTTTTGTTGCATCGCCAAAAGTTCCATGATGAATTTCAAAATGGAGTCCTATTTCGAGTTCAACCTTTTTAAGATACGTCCTGAAATATAACTTCACATTGAAAAATTCTGTGTTACATGTACGAGAAGAGCTTCCTTTTGCACTATCACACAGGGAGCCCAATTTAGATTAAAGTGAATACCATAGGGGAATTATTCAAAAAATTGTTCTAGTGCATTTTTTATCAATTTTTTTTTTACTCTCTCGTATTACGGAGGACATTATCTTGACCTCGAATTTTTAAAAAAAATAATTATTTAATTTTTCCGATTTTATTTTCACCGTTCACTTTAATCTAAATTGGGCTCCCTGTGCCTATCAGCAATTAAGATTACTAGTAAAAACCAAGCATAAATGCAATAAAACCTTAGTAAGTGAACAAAATCACCAGCCACCATTCTAATTACCGTGAGATATCATGAAATAGGAGACGGGGCATTAGGAATAACTTGATTCTAGCTAGATCTTTATTGACCTTCGTGATCGTTATAGCCTGCGTCACATCCGGAATTTTCTTCGTTACAGATTTTAGCTTGTTATCAGGATTTCAAACCGTGTCCAAAGTTGAGTGATATTGAACAGACCGGTAAATGCGCGAATAATTTACCCRAAAATTTTCTATATTTCAATCTTTAGTAAAGCTATATGCACTCAATTTGAAGAATCGTTGTCGGGTTCAGAAATATAGAACATAGAAGCTGCGACCGAAATAGGATATTTACTATTTTATGAACTGCAATAGGCCGATACTCAAAGAAAATTATCAGTTCCAAGGGAAAAAGCGAGACTTCCAGACAACAACGAAGCAAAAAGAGACTAAACTTGGAAGTTTTTAGTAATTTTTGCGATCATTCCGAACCACTTTAACAGAGAAATGTTTGTTTGAAAATCTGCTAGAAATACCTGTTGTGGCTTTTCCCTCTTTGAAGTCATCTAATAATACTGGATAAATTACTCCAAAAGTTGATGCAGAACCAAAGATAAGAATATTCGACACAACAGCAGAAAAACAGACAAGCCATGCTTTCCAACCATCACGGTGGTGAAGTGCTGCCATCTCCAAAAATATTGCTATAATATTGATACGATTTCATGATCGACAATAACATCGCACAGAATATTGAGTGACACATCCGGGAAATTAGAGAATAAATTACTAGATTCCAGTTTCCGAATATCAATTTTCCATTCACGGCCATTTATATTTATAAGGCAAAGTCATAATATATTGAAAGTTAATATTGCAAGAAAAGTAACATGGGAATATTAAAGAATGACAACCACACAATATGATCTTACCATTTATTTTTAGTGATTCAATTTGCCAACATGCGATTTTTTGTGAGTCAATTTCAGGTTTCGTATTGTTTATATGTATGGAAATTTATCATTCCTGCACTTTGTTTGGGTCCTGCTGTTCGTCGTGAAAAAAAATCATTCAAAGTAACAACTGAAATTGGTTTCCCAACCATTGCTCAATTGCTTCCAAAATTCAGCACTCTTTGAAGCTGAAAGCAAGTAGCGATTTTTCAGGAGTTTTAACTTTGACCCAACAAAGCAAAACTGTCCAAAATGACGACTTTCCTGTGCTTTTTTGATATAAGAAATCATCCTTCTACCGCCATTTGTATAGCCCTAGAAAAAAACTGTCTTATAAAGCCTTACCCTATTAATCCTTTTATAAACGGTTTCCGGTTCAAAGATATTGCTCTTTGACTTTCAATTCAACTTCTAAATTCTAATTCGATCTTTGGGCTTTCACTTAATTTGGAGCCTAGCTCTGTTGTGATTGTCCCACGCTGTGATACGACAGCGAAAAGCTTTGTAGGTAATAATTTCCATGTCCTGTAGGTAGTGACACCTGTGCCACTACCGACACGTGCCTTTGCCATTAATGAAACTTTCTAAAGAATTTCTTTGCTGAGGCCGGGTTGGTTGGAGTTGGTTTCTTCCAGTTAGTGCAAAGGGAATATAATATAAACTATTACTGTCATTTTGAGAAGTGGTATATAACATTCCGAGGATTTGCAGAACCAAAAAAACCAAATGATCGATTCGATAACCAATCTAGAATTTGCAGAAGCAAAACGAAAAAAAAAATCCAATAATCTTGAATAATGGGTGAGTGTTAATTCGACGGGGACGGGGGAGGGGGTACGTGTTCTTGGATAGTTATAGCGGCATTACAAAAGAACTAGACACGACTTCTCCCTTTTCTTTCTCTCGCCCCGGGGGAAATTAAAGGAGACTCTGCCAGCAGAGTAGTGAAGAGTGTTGAATGATATTAGTCTGCATAAAGACGATTAGTGGCATTAAATAAGTGAGCGGATGTGAGGGTCGAGTGTTGATGTCAACGGACGACCATGCGAAACAAATATATCTGTCTGAGGGACGAGGTCAAAACAATGGTCCAAAATAGGGACCCGATTTTATGAATTAAGGTGGTGGGTACCGGTACATACCCCCTCCCCCCTCAGAGACCTGTTCAAATGCTCGATACTGGGGGTMTGTAGTGRCAAYYTCTAYACAMAAATATGTTTTTTAGCAYACATGCAGACAGACAGTCCATTCAATTCTGTGATTTGGCTTCTAGTTTTGGAGATATTTGGGGACAAAATCTAAGATTTCCCTTCCAGAGGTGGTGGGTACCGGGTAACACCACCCCTCCCCCCTAAATCGGGTACCGTGAGATGACAATTGTTTTGCCCTCATCCCTGATACCTCCTGCCTATTTCTCTTCCCTAGTTCTCTGCCTAGTTTTCTGCCATATAATTTAACACAGGGATCCCAACAAAGTAGCCTGCGGAGAAGGCTGTCTGATACCAAGGTCAAATTGGTCTTCTTTCTCGTCCACTTGAATTGTCTTGTAGTCCTTCCATGTACCCCGCTCTACAATAAGCTCTACAATTACAAAGTCATGAATTGGACATGTGAAATTCGCTTGATTTCGCGACATTTTTTCATAATCACATCAAAATTCGAAAATTATCTCGTAACTCTCAACTTTTAATTTTGAAATTGACAAAACTAAACAAATTTTTTAATGAAATTCTGAAATTTTTGATCAGTGCTCTGCTAGTATCCAGGCTAGCGAGAGTGTTCTACGCAGCCAACTAGTATCCAGGCATCGCCGCTGAAAACGAGTTTTGGAAATATCTACAAACAGAAGGAGGGGAAGGGGGCACAGGCTGTAGGTGGGTTCACCAAACCAAAACCAACTTTTTGCCCAAAATTTCATGGTACGAGATTTCTTGGCTCGCATGCTAGTAAACAGATGAATGAATTTATGACCGTCCCCCGTCCCCCCCCCNCCCAAACGTATTTTGACTGATTGGGAATCCCCACTACACCCTTCCTGCAACTTGTAAATAAGGAAATGCTTCAAAGAATAGCAATTCAGACAGTGCTTTCAATAAAATAATTTTTTATTCTATATAAARTTTAGATAAAAATATTAAATCTTTAGTATGGTTATGTTTTCAATTTGAAAGTTAAGGCAGCTAAGAAACCTTAGCACTTTTATTTTCTATCTATACATTGCATTTTTTCGACAAAAATCTTTTGTTTGCTTTACTTCTCAGCATAAAGTACATTAAATGGTACAAAGTTTGTCATCTGAGATACTCAAGTATTCTTATACTTATATTATGTATTATACACTCACTATTCCAAATTCCTACACGATTAAGCTAAGTTAAAACTATATAATATTTAATGGGGTGTTCCACAAGGTTTTACATTCGGACCCCTAATTTCTCAACAAACAGGCTCAAACAATTCTGAATTTTGCTTCCTTYGTGGTTGGACGAACCTTGCTTGGAATCATGGCTGATCCATTAACGTTGTCAAAACCAAGGTAATACTTGGTGGTGGAGCTACTGTACAACCTGAGAGTGAACACCGTGCTTCCTGGACTGAGAGGTTTCTTGACAAAAAGGATTTCTGGATTCGTGGCTTTAACATGTACGATTGAGGTAAGAGAYGTTTGTACGCTCTGGAAAAAATACAAAATAAGAACAACTTTGAATGTTTAAAAAAAATATCAGGAACGACTGGGGTCCGTGGATTCTTAACTCTCCCCCCCCTCAAAGGAGAAAAAATTAATGGAGCAGGAAATTTAATGTGGTCAACATAATGTTCATGTGGGCGATTTTGAAAATGCACGATAGCCTCTTTCCATGGTCAATTCGTTCGCTGCCATAGTAACGGCCTGCCATTCTATTTTTGGGTTTGTCTATTAGATGATAGAGTGATGTTATTAATAATAATAGTTATAAATAGACTATAAACCCTTTGTTTTCTTTTGTTTTGTTTTTTTTATCAACTAGTACTAACTAAATAGTCGTTTTTCTTTCACTATGTAAATAAAATCACTCTACACCCAATAAACCATCACTTGCATATGATTATTGACTGACCTTGACAACGATTCTGTCATTCTCAATAGCGATGAACTTCCCATCAGAAGCGCTTTCGAAAATCCACAGGTCCCTATCTAGTCGGTCGTCATAGTAACAATGAATTTTAAACTGAGCTGAACAGAACAAGTAAAAGTTGATAAGATTGAGTTAATTTGACTGCCTAGCTTGATTGCGCAATACTTTTTATAAATCGATTTAAACAAAACTTCCCTTTAACATTCATTCCCCTATGCTTATCATGGGTTAAGGTAAATATCTTCCTTCCCTAAAGAATCGATCGATTTCTATTCGCTGTTAGATCCGCCTTATCTCGAGAAATTAACTTACGGTTACGACTGCTTTCCGATAAGTGTCACTGCTTTTCGCGCTCAAATGCAAACCAAGAAACGGAAGTTACGTCACGATGAAATAGGGATACGAGTGAGACGTGGAAACGAATCCTTTTTAGTGGGATCCAGAAAAAATTAAATGGATATGAAAAATAATTACCTTTGCTGTCGTTTCTTGCTGCATCAGCTGACACTTTACTGCCATTTATTCTCAAGTAGTGACCGCCAAAAACATGACCAGCTTGAACTTCGGATTTGATTCGCCATGTTTGTGTTGTGAAATCATCGTCACGAGCATGGAAAAATGTAGGGTAGAGAGATGGCGATTCGAGTGTAGTGTCTTGACGTTCATTCTATGGGGGGAAAATGATTGTGAAGGACTGAGAGTTAAAGAAAGAGAGAGGGAGGGAAGGAAGGAAGGAAGGAAGGAAGGAAGGAAGGAATCTTATTGAAACGAGACGTTAGTTTATCACTGAGTTTATCGTAAGATTTAATTAATCAATTACCTTATCAGTCCCTTCCTTCATGGATTCTTGACAGCCTATTTCCATCGACACCATTTCCTTTGAAATTTCCATATTATCGTTTAAATTTCTTTATCTTCAAATTGATAATTTTTTTCTTCTTGCGGAAAAATGATTTCAGCTTCGTGTCTTCATTCACTTGTTAAATTATTCTGTAACATCTATTCGCTTTTTATAGGTTTTCCCGACCAAATATTCCCAGTATTACAACATAATTCCGTTATTTCCAGGTTATTTGCTTAGCTTTTCGTTTTTCCCTGAAATGATCATTTTTTAACCTTAAAGGAATGTATTAAGTCCATGTCTAAGTTGAATGAAATCCTTCAATCACGTGAGTGAACTGCTAGCTTTCGGTTAAAATATCTTTTGAAGAAGAAAATTTAAAAATACCATGTCCAAAAATGGCCAAGTCTGTTTTTAATGTTTAATTGTAATGCTCTTAAGAAGCACGAGGACCGTTTTGCTTTCTAAACTGTAGGATTATCTATAAAAAAAGTTTTTCGTATTTCCTGTTTATATACTAATTTTTTTTCTCGCTAAAATTAAAAACCTAAATATATCCGTTTCATTTAGGAATTCAAGCAATTGCAACATCTTCGAATTAAAAGCATCTTTTCGACTTTTATTTTTTTCGAGCGAGAGTCATGAAGAACTTAAGTTGTGCACTGTTTATTTGGAAGGTAGTTTCCATGGATACGAACTACGTAAGCAACAAATAAAAGTGAAAATTTCTAAGAGTTGCTGTAAAACTATCAATTTACAAACAGAAAGAAGCGAAATATGCTAGTTTAGTATTGTGTTAAAGGTGGTTGAAATGTCACTATTAAAAGCTGTGAAGATTTTGTCCCTCCCGATAAAGCGTATTGATCCCGAAATTATGGAGCAATGACTTCAGTATTTATTATGTAGCTGAAACATTACCATAATTGAAAACGTAGAATTCAGTTTAACCAACTTTTAAAGGTGGTTTCTAAAGCATTAAGTTCTATATTTTAAGCATTATATTAATGAAGCCTTGCAATCCTTGGTTGCCTGATCATTTCCAACAAAACGGTATGTACCGCCTATGTTGATCAGATATAACGAAAGAAAATGAGAATTTTATTTTTAAACATTTCAGAATAATAACAGACAATTATTTAGTCCCTTACAAGATAAATTTTTAAAAAATGTTCACCTAAACTGAGAATCGAAACATCCAAGATGGCGGTGCTTTAAATGGCCAAGCGCATGCGCAGAAAACATTCGAAACCATGTAAAGATATATAGTTCTTACAGGAATGGCACGCTTCAACTACTTGAAGTATCACATGGATTATCACATGGGCTCGTTAGGCACGTCTGACATGAATAAAATGGTTATCTATTTGTTTTAAAATAGTTTATAGGATGGCAGCCGGAGAAATTTAAATATAAGTAATGAAACCATCGGATTAAGCCGGCCTTGATTTTCATTTCTTTTCGACTTTGATTCGTTCGCAGAGTAAAATTGGCAACCAAGACGTCACATTCAACAAGAATAAATTAAATAACAAGTTGCAGATCGTTTTTCACCTTTTTTTTAAAGGTAAAACAGTTTACGATACATTAGTTTTTGCAAGGTAGGTTATAACCAAAGCCATTAGTTCTGATATTGTCAAAAAATGATACAGCAAAGTTTGAAAGAAGAAGAAAAATTTCAAATAAAAAGTCGCGAAGTTAAGTAGGAAGAGTGCAAGCGAGTGGGAGGGGCCCGTAACTTGGTTATCGTAAGCGTTGACGCAAAACTGACTTTGAAATTACTGGTTAAGGTTTGGTAACGAGGATTGGAGCAGGCGGTGCAGCAAAAAAAGTGGTCTTTGAAAGAATCGAAAAAGGAGACAGGAAAGTAAAAAAGGAGACAGGAAAGGCTAAAACAAAAACAAACAAGAATAAAGCAAAGCAAAATAGGAACAAAAACAAACAAGAAAGTAGTAAACTTTAAAATCTTGAAGAAAGCATCAGGGTAATATTAGCTCAATGCCAGAATAAAAATAAATCAAGTTACTTCTAAATATATTTTTAACCCTACGGAGTTATTAAATAATACCGTAAGCCGGAAGAAGAGATTGAATTAGTATTAAGTCGCAGGAAGAGAAAAGATATAAGAGGAAGTAAACTCGAGAGGAAGAGCATATCAAAAAGAGGAATAGTATTCAAACGAAGTGAAAATAAATTGAAAAATGAGAATGAAGAAAAAGGAAGATATCCGGAAACTGTACATTGTAAATAAAACAAAAAACAAAACAGATCAGGAGGGATTTCATAGACTGAAACCGCTATATATAACAACTGCATTTAAAAATCTCTCCGAAAAACAGGAAATATTAAATCCGATTGGTAGCTTTTCCTTGTTATTAACATTTCCTTGTTTATTTTTGTTTTATACAATACTTCTTTTTACAGTTTCATTCAGTGACCACGAATAATAGTTTCCGCGCATAGCAAAACTATAGTTTATCATGCGCGGTAACTTCAGCCTCGGCTGGAAACTATTATTCGTGGTCACTGAATGGAACTTTAAAAAGGAGATTTTTTTCTATGACGATTTTTGTTTCTAAGTACTATTTACTTCGTTTTATTTCGTTTCATGCTAGAGTACAAACACTAAAAGTGTGCAACATAAATATCACTAAATAATGCTATTTTATGCTAATCCTATTGTTTTCTTTTGTTTGATTAGTGCTTTTTACTACTAAATAGTGATAACTATTGCACACATTTAGTGTTTGTAGTCTATATCATGAAATAATCAGTACACAAATAAATGCAAAACCATCTATATTGCAATGATATATAATTAACATTGAATGATATTTACAATTTATGAACAACACACCAAGGCCAAGTTTCTTAATGTTAGTCGGGCAGCTAAGATTCTTTACTCTCTATTGCTACATGATCTATGATCTATTCTTCGATTGCACGTTACGTCATCGCGGCCATGTTGGTGTCATTTAACAAAAGATTTATCATTAGCATCCATTGTTAACGGCACCACAATGGCCGCCATGCTTTTGTCTTTTGACTCTCTTGGGAATGCTTGCAACCCATCAATTAGGTTTGAGACCTAATCGAAAAATGGCGACCAATTTGAATAACTATTGTTCTGCACTGACTAGCGACTGACTAGTCTCTCAAACATGTGAAAACGCTTTTATGTTTCTACGTGAAAACGAGGCTAGTCAGTCGCTAGTCAGTGTAGAACAATAGTTATTCATATTGGTCGCCATTTTCGATTCGGTGTATTTTTTCATATTCCTTTTTTTAAAAGTCTAAGTCAAGTCTAGGTTAGAGTCTTTCAATGAATATAGTCCTTTACTGCTTTTACGTATTGACAGGAACTTCTTGACGTCTGAAGAAGGTAAGTACCCTTTACCTGCAGAACATATGAAGAATTTRACTCAGGAAGCCCAATTTGAATGAATGTTCATGATAGTATTTTATCCTCACTACTGCATGCTCATTACTGAGTTACGGGGATTAAGATATGGAAGGTGACCGCGACTGCTGGCAATGAGCATGCGAAAAGCATGCGATACGTCGTCAACCGCCACCAGGGGAGGTGGGTGGGGTGAATCTTCTACTCTCTCCTTAGGCAGCTTCTGGCAGAATGATTCAAGGATCTGGGTGTGGCGATTATATATGGAGGGATCGCAAAGCATTACACCCGCACTGCACAAACTCTAATGTCCATAAATGGGGGGCTTGCTAAATTTCTACGTGACATGCCAATTATGTATGCAGTGAGAATAGTAATATGAGGAGCTACTCTCACATAGGGTTAGATTGTCACAGGGAGCCCAATTTTGCTGAGATAAATGGTAGGTTAGGTTTGCTGAAAATCCAGGAAAATGAGGTGAGGTTTTTGATTATCATATTATAATATATGTACAACCAATCAAAATATGGTGACCAACTTGAATAACTATTGTTCTGCACTGACTAGCCTCATGTTCACATGGAAACATAAAAGCATTTTCATAGGAATGAGAGCCTTGTCAGTCCACAGAAGTAGTTATTCAAATTGCCCTAATTCACTATGACGTCACATCAAAACAATCTTCAACAATCTATTGTTTAAACACAAAGGATCATGGTTATTGAACGGAAATTCACCGAAAATTGTTCTAAAACCTGTCTCAATCCACGAAGAGAAGTAGAATAGCCAGCAAACACTCAGGATATTTTTTAGTACATATTAACACATATTATACCTGAACACCACTGAGGCCATTTCAGATAAAACTGTTTCGCTTGGAGTAAATTTTGTTGAATTTTCTATTGGATTTGGTGATTCTATCCCCCACATAAACAAGCAGTGACGTCATAGTGAATTAGGGCAATTGGTTGCCATATTTGAATTTGGTATATAATTTTATCGATTTTGATCAAAAAATTTTTGGTCTTACCAGCACATGTAACCATCTTTTTTGCAATCCATGTGAAAGGGTCTTGAAGGCTTTTTCTGTCCCCAACACAAACTTCAGTCAACCGCACTACAAAGGATACCAGGCAAAATAATTAATGCCATGAATGAATCCAAAGTTTGCAAGTGGAAGTATGGCAGATTGCAAAGTCAAAGACACATTGGTTTGTGCCGCACAGAAAAAATTGTCTTTGCTAAACTATTTTAATTTAGTTACATATTTGACGAGAGTGAAATTAATAGGACTTCAATAGACCTAATCAGCTAAAGTGTTGTTATGTACGTTTCCATTCAATTCAAACCACATGGGACTAAGTTTCATTGTTCGTTATAATTTGGTTTCACAGTTGAATTCGTAGAGACAATTCCCAGAAGGTTTGAATTGGGTGGTAACGTACATAGCAACATGTTACCCAATTAGGTCTATCAATAATAATTACCCTTTTCACTGTCTGCCCAATGGGATGTATCTTTTGGATCGCTTTCTCTTTCTTCAATCATGTCTGTTTTTGTACCAATGACAAATATGGGAAACTAAAACACAAGCATGCAAACCAAAATTTTTCAATTTAGGATGCAAAATACCAATAACTTTTAAAACTACACAATATACCCTCCCCACCCCTTGGAAAGTCAAATCCCCCTCTGTGAGGGAAGTATGGATATTTTCTGCAACTACACAATATACCCTCCTCAGACCCTCCCCATCCTTGGAAATTCCAATCCCCCTCTGTGGGGGAAGTATGCATATTTTCTGGTACTACACAATAAACCCTCGTCAGACCCTCCCCACCCCTTGGAAATTCCAATCCCCCTCTGTGGGGGAGGTATGGATATTTTCTGGAACTACACAATGTTGAGAATAGTTAACTTCGATACATTTTATTCGTTTTGTTTGTTTCTTACGATTTCCTTGACCCCATTATTTACCAGAAATTAATGATTAAACATAGCAATGAAACTTGATCTAGCCTTATGCAATAAAGTACACTCGCTTAATTCTTGATGAACCGATATGCATGTGTTTACGAGCCAAAGACAATTTTGATATAAAGACTGATTTAGATGCGTGATTCGCCACCAGATGTAAGTACAATTAATTCTAAATATAAATACTTTGTAAGCGTAAATAATTTCCCCACAAATGTAGACTAACTTAGGAATTATTGTTACATTTTAGTGAACCTTGTACTAGCTTGTACTAGTTTGTACTTGATCCACGATTAAACTTGAAACAGACACGTGAACATTTGCCAACTATTTAACTCTAGCAAGCGTATCATATGGTGGTGAAATAGACATTTCCCGATATTTCTTACACACAATATACCCTCCTCAGACCCTCCTCACCCCTTGGAAATTCCAATCCCCCTCTGTGGGGGAGGCATGGATATTTTCTACAACTACACAATATACCCTCCTCAGACTCTCCTCACCCCTTGGAAATTCCGATCCCCCTCTGTGGGGGAGGCATGGATATTTTCTGGAACTAAAACTTAGGCATTGCAGTTTACTTGAACAGATATTTATAGCTGTGGAACAACAAACAAACTTACATCTTTTCCCCTGCCTTTGTCAATTTCTTTTTTCAAGTTCTGCACAAGTTGGAAGGATCTTTTTGAAGTTGTGCTGTAAACTAGAAGAAATCCCTGAAAAGCAAGGCAAGTCATTTTCAGCTATCAGCCTTGGGTTTTGATGACAACTAGGAGTGTTGGTCAAGTGATATAACTTAATGCAGTTTTCGTATGACTGTGAAAAGCTCAAGGCACAAGGGTGGTGACATGGCAAGGGATCACACCAGACCAATCACACTACAGAATTTACTCTCCATCCAAACACACTCCTGGAACATGGGATAAACATGACACGGTCATACCAAGATCACAGCACTGCAAAACCAATCATACTGCATGGGGAAAAAATTAGCCAATTAAAATTCTAGAAAACATCAYGGTCACAGGAGGGTATGCTTTTTGCATTGAGCTTTTCACAGTCATGAGATAACTGCTCTATGATTCATTCACTTACATCAGCAGTGTTGAGAAAGTTCTTTGATAATTCTCCTTTGATATCTTCCTAATGAATATAATTTTGAACAAAAATATTCATTGCATGTTCTACTGAAACAAATTAATTCTTATCTCCTCCAGATTTTGCTTGTCTTTTGCATATTTTTTTACATATTTAATTGATCATGATCCGATTATCATTCAAATAATTTAAGAGCATTTAAATTGGCTTAAAATTCCACAAACCATTCCTCCAGTGTCGTAAATACGGAATTTTTCTTTCACTCCTTTTTCTATTTCCAGTAACACTTCATAAACATCTTCGATCGTCCTGTAAGTGGGCTAAAACAAACCAGTTTTCAAACCAGTTTTAACTTATACATTTGAAAAAAAATGCTTGCAAAATATTTACAAAAAAATAGAAATCAGATCAAAAATAACGGCTTACTCGTCCAGGAACATGATTCCCAAAGACTGCTTGTTCTATTAAAGCTGTTTTACCAACAGATTTGGCACCAATTACGACAAGACGAAGGATTTTAGGCATTTCTGGCAGAGAGGAAGTTAAAACGTAGAAACTGTGTATATCGATTTGTATATCCAGATGGGATCCCTGTGGCTAAAGGTATCCCAACTACGGAACGCAATAAATAAAATAAGTGAAAATCTTCCTTTTAAATRAAAAAAAAGTATCACTTTTTTAATGTATATATTTCAGAAACTTCTGTAAGTAAAAGGTTTTTTAATACTTACTTTTCATTTTTTGAATTTGTCTGTCCGTCCAATACTTCCTTTCCAGAGTGCAACTTCCAAGTAATCACAGGTAGCCCATATCGGTGCTTTTTCAATCGTATCAAGTTAGTATTTGGCGGGTATTATAAATGTTTTGAATCTTTATTAACTAACCGGTTATCATGGTTAAAATAAGTGATTATGATTGTATTGGCTTCGATCTCGATCACACGGTCATCCAATACAAGCTTAGCAATCTTTATACGGTAAGACAGAGTGGAGAAAACCAGTATGAGACGAGTGAACGCCGGCCATGTGCGGGCTCGAAGTGCGTGGCTCGAAAAATATGGCCGCGTTCACTCGTAAAATTAACTGGCTGTAATACAAAACTAGCAGTTTAATAATCTCTATATACAATCTAGTTGACGTACAAGTTCCTGACGACCTTCTTAGTCAAGGAAAAGGGATATGACGCAAGTTTGCTTGACAGTAGTTTAGAGGACCATAAGGACTTCATGTAAGTTAAAACAGTCCTTGCAATAATGTTGAAGTTTTCATCACATTCGTAGCTAACTGATAATTTCGTTTTTCATCCAAACTTTCTTCTGAAAGGAAAACAATGGCTGTTCTAATCGTTTTTTTAGTTTGAGGGGGTTGATCCTGGATGCAGACAAGGGGAATTTGATAAAGCTAGACAAACATGGTTGTATACTGAGGTAAATAACCCTTAGTTACAGTATTTTTTTTATCAGCAGAATCTTCAGCATCGTCATAATCTTCATCATCTCATCTTAACTATCTTCATCATCACCATCTTCGATCATTATCATCTTCTTCATCATCTTCATTATATTCAACATCATCATCATCACCACCTTTTTCTTCTCTCTTATCATCATGATCATCATAATTGTCATTTACCAAAACCACCACCATTGTCACTATCATCCTCAAAGCTACCCATCATCTTCCGTCATTGTACACCCATTTTGTCATCACCATCATCATCATTAATCAACGCTACAACAATTTTCGTCACCACTACTAAAACAATATATCATCCTCAACTGATTTCACAACGATTATTTTAGAGCTTCCCATGGAACAACACCAATGAGTGACAAGGAGATCCTAGATTGCTATGGAGAGAAAAGAAAGTTTCTACTCTTTGAAGAATTGAAATCATCCATGATAAAAAGACACAGACATATTAGTAAGTCACATGAAAAGGAACTACATTTAAACCTTGTTCAATCAGCATCCTTATGCTCCTTCTGGCTGGAAGAGTGATGATGTTGATAATCATGATGATTAATCAGACAGACATGATTGCAAAGAACCAGGAAAATTAATCGACCAGTTTTGAGTTCCAAATTACCAATGTGTCCCTTGATTACAGACTCATTTACTCAGGGTTATCCTTGAATCAGTGTCTAAATATTCACAAATACCAATGGAAATTAAAGAATGCAGCTTCAACAATGCAAGCACTTTGAAAATCTAGGTGACACTCAGAAGTTTGGTTTTCAATAGTTTTAAGAATTTAAAAGTTGGTATAGTTATCAGTACTCATAGACAATTAYATCTTTGTTTCTCTTACTCTTGCAGGTAGCTTCAGAATTTTTGAAACTTTCTTTGATCTTCCTGCAGCTCTTGTAGCAGCCAAACTTGTTGACGTTATCGATGCCAAGGTAAGAGTTTTTGGCTATGGAACTTTCACTTCTTTCTTTCCAAAGCATGCTCCTTTGGTTTGCATAATCTAGTATCTATTTTGTGGCTCTCATTCAGTACCCATTCCATTCAACTTAATGTCTTTTATTGTATTTCTACTGCTGGGATACTTAGAAGTATCAATGAATAGAAATAAAATGAAGAGAGAATAAAAACATGAAAGTGGGAATGTCTGTTTAACTTACTGTATAGAATTAATCAAAAGCTTTTTAGAGTGGTTTGAATAAACCCATAAAACAAAGTGTGCTGATAGGCCCTTTGCAGTTAACGGTCACATGTCTGTACTGGTGAGCAAAATTTGTTATTTTATTTTAAATTGGTGATTCTTTTTAGCTCTCGTAAAGAACTGAATGAAACAATGTGTAACCAGTGTGTTACGAAATGCAGTTTTAATACGATCTCTTGAAATAGGTTGTAGAAAGTTTGTTTGCTCACCAGTATATTTCATCCATGGGAATCAAGATGTTCATTCATTTGCTCTCAGTGAATTAATCAGCACGTGATTACTGAGCTGCAAAGGGCCTATTAGAATGTAATAGTTGGATAAACACTATATAAGACAATAGAATTGGAGTGTAATAAAAGCTTAAGTAAGCTTAATAAAAGCTTAAGTAAGCTTAATAAAAGCTTAAGTAAGCTTAATAAAAGCTTAATAAGCTTAATTATCATATGACCCGTACGGCCCTGCTCGCGCGCTCTAATAAAACCTTTGGAAAAAGTCACGTGATGGGGGCCGGACGGGTTGATGTAAGCGGGCTGGAAAAACCCATCCGGCCCTGCTCACCCTTTTTTTTTCTTAATTATTTTTATTTTCGTGAGGGTCATATGATAAAATGCTTATTGACTGAGTTAGGTCGGGCTGTACGGGAAAATATTTGGCTCTCGGTCATTTGTACGGACCTCGAGCCAAATATTTTCCCGTACGGCCCTCCCACTCGGTCAATAAGTACATAGTATATTTCATGGGTTTATGAAAACCATACTAAAACCATGACTTTTAATACCTTACTGTATCTTTTGTGTAGCACTACTGAACCCCCACCCCTCCCCCTAAAAAGGAAGAACAAAAATATGCCAAGTCTTCCAATAAGAAAGATCTTAACAAAACATAAGGTTGCATTAATATCATCCTATTGTTTATGTGTTATAGAGTGGCAGACCTGAGAAATATACATTTTGGCCAGATATTATGGAAGCATTTATTCTCAACTTTAGTCCTTCATCGTTTACTGGTATTGAAATATTGAATTACTAGTAATAACTATTGACTAGCTCTTTCGTGCATTGGTTTTCCCATCCATCTATCCATTCATCCGTCCATCCATTTTTCCATCCTTCTGTCTACTCCCCCACCCTCCCATTTATACATTCCTTCATCTCTTTTCTTATCCATCTTTCTGTTATCAACCCATCAATCTATTCATTTAGCCCTCCATCCAAACACCCATTCATTCATCCATCCGTCCATCCATCTTTCCATCCTTCTGTCCACTCCCCCACCCTCCCATTTATACATTCCCTCATCTCTTTTCTTATCCATCTTTCTGTTATCAACTCATCAATCTATTCATTTAGCCCTCCATCCAAACACCCATTCATTCATCCATCCATCC